TGTAACTGCTGAGAAATATCAAGACATGCTAGCGAATTTTGTTCAACCTCAGTTAGCAAACATGGCAGGGTATTAGTGGCAACAAGATGGAGCAACTGCACATACCCCTAGAGCCACAATGCAGTTGTTAACTGCAATGTTTCAGGATCGGATAAATCCGATTTTGAAACATCTCTCTTAAATCCGATTTTGAATAGCCTCCACTTTCTTCTGATTTGACAGCACCAGACTTTTGGCTTTGGGGATATCTTAAAGACAAAGTGTACGCAAATAAGCCCCAAACTATTCAAGATCTTAAGGCAAACATACGACAGGAAATTCTTTCCCTACAACCTCAGATGTTAAGAAGTGTTGTGGAGAATAGCTTAAAAAGAGCTCGATATTGTGAAGACGAGAATGGAGAATCTATTTAAGAGACATTATCTTTCGTAACTAAGTCAGAACTAACTTACAGATTCTAAACTTTGTTATAAAAAAAGAATTAATTAAATACAGTCGTTTAATAAAAAGTTATTTAATTTTTAAAATGTAAAGTGACTTATGGGCCACCCTGTATTAAATTATTAATTCTTTTCCAAATTTCGCTAAGATTTTTTACATTTTCTGTAAAGTAATTTTTAAAATGCACTTTTTTACTGAGCTTAATTAAGGTAATTATCATATATTTATATCCTTTGAAAGTAGTTTTAAATGTGTTTCTGTTCCTAATATCTTTTGATCTTAACATTTTTTTTTTTAAAAAGATTGCCTATTTGAATCGATTTTAAGATTCCCTTTGTAATCCAAAGTTTAAATCGATGCTTTAAGTTCTTAATGCTAATTTTTTTAAGTGGGGCGTAGCAGTTCAAAATCAAGGTTGTTTTAGAAATAAATGTTTGAATCAAATTGCCTTATGCCATTTCTCTCAAAAAATAAGCCCCTTATGCCATTTGTCTCAAAAAATGACATTTCTCTTTTTATCGAGCGCGTGAGATCTTTTTCATTTCGGTAGATACCACTCTCAGGTAAGCTGGTGCAAATTTTTTTGATATTGTTTTTGATATCTCCAACTTTTTTTTTAAAGTGAGAGAAATTTCATTTCTTTAATCAACTTCATCATCATCGACATTGAATATTATATTTGTGTCTGAATTTGAAGTGGTGGCTGAAGTAGATGTTGTTGCTACAGGTACAGCTTCATAATGAGAGTTAGGCCACACCCAGACCATTGTATCTGTAAAACCATAACTTTTGCGATTGCAGCTTTGGTAATGATCGGATATAATTCATAATCTCTATCCGTTTCATCATCACTTGGATTTTCATTGGAGTCTGGATTGTGTAAATATTGCAAAACACTTGGAATTTTTGTTCGTCTTTCAAGAATACGTACTTTTAAAGCTGATTTTAATTCATAATTTAATGAAGATGGATGGCCAGTTATTGATTTCATCAATTGAATAGCAGCATCTGCAGATAACAAAGTTGCATCTTGTTGGCAGATTGCTTCAACTGTAAGCTTAATAAGAAGTAAAACTGAAAGGATATTTGACAACATTTTAAACTCTGCATCTGAAAACAAAATAGTTGATTTTAAATCTATTAGACTCTTTTTGATGCAATTTTTTAATTTGACAAAACGTTCTATCAAGACACCAAACTATTCCATCATGTTTTTGAGTCTAAAACCAGAGACAATTCTTTCCCAAACTCTTCTTTTCCATATTTTTGTAGGATTTTATCATTTTTTGTAGGCGAAAAACAAAATATTTTGATCACTTTTTGAACTTTTTTAATTAATGGTAACGTTTGCTGTTGTACCAGAAAAGAAGAATTATCATCATCGTTTTTAGTGGAGGTTTTAAGTAAACCATTTTCATTTTCATAATCTTCATCAATTAATTCGTCATCATCAGTAGAATTCTGCTATCTTTTTCAAATCTGAGTGTAGGAACTGATGTAACATTGGCATCTTCTTGATTATGCAGACTCTCCTCATTATTAGATTTTTTGTAGAGTACGCCGATAACAGCCAACTGAATTCCATGCGCTAAACATAGCTGCTGATATGCTTCAATTAACCTGCCTGTCTTTGTCATAACTGCAGCGCCTTTAGTAGTAATACCTACAATATTCTTGATCGAAAGCTTAAAATCACTATCATTAACAAGCTCAACATTTATTTCTGCGGGAATTGTTCCAAAAGCACAAGTTAATCCTAGATTCCAAAATTCTTTGTCAGAGTGGACATTAATATTTATGTAACGTCTATTTCTTATCGATGTCCATCCATAGAAAGTTGGAGAAAATCTGTTTTCATTAGCAATTCTGCTCGATAATTCTTTAATTTCTTCGTCTTGTATTTTTTTACTGTAATTCAAGACCATTTTGTGAATTTTTTGTGATCCTTTAGTATGTTAGAAAAGCCTTCAGCTGTTAAGCCTTTTCTGATATCATATGATGTGCAGATAATGTTGAATGATAAACCATCACACGCAGTCATCCTAGCAAAAATAGTTGGTAACAAATCATCAATTTTATCACTTTTAAAAAAGTTGTTTATAGTTACAGAAGGTTTTGATGTCTGTACAAATTCTGAAGAATCTAAAACAGTGAGGCTATCTACATCTCTTTTTAATAAGTTGATTTTATGAATTGTTTTTAAATGGGTATGAAGACCGCTTATAGAACCTCCATGTATTTTTATTATTCTTTTACACAATTTGCATTTAGCACACTGTCCTGCTTTTTTTTTTTACAAAATGAAACCATGGTGAATTTTTATCATTTGCTTTGGAATGCTCCTCAAAATCTTTAATATTTATATCGGTTTAAAATACAAATTTTCTAAAAGTTCGAAAGACGATAATAATTTATAATGTATAATTTAACTTACCGTTTGGAATTTTATATAATATTTTGATTTAACTAAAAATAACTAATATTATATACCCACATTTGATTTTGCACGATCAATTTTGTTTCCATTTATAAGATCAATTAAAATGTTAAACTTTTTAAACTTTCAAATGGTGAAATTATTTCGAATACCAAAATAACGGCATTCGACTCTTTTAATACCAGTATTTTAGCAACTATAAATTGTTCCAAATACCGGAATCCCAGTATTCCCAACTTTAGACAGACATGATAATATATATATATATATATATATATATATATATATATATATATATATATATATATATATATATATATATATATAATATATACTTTTTGTATATATATATATATATATATATATATATATATATATATATATATATATATTATTGCTCTGTTCTTTTAAGAACATTGAGCACTCTATTTTGTAGAATACATTTTAAAATTGTTTAAATATATATATATATATATATATATATATATATATATATATATATATATATATATATATATATATATATGTATATATATATATATTATTGCTCTGTTCTTTTAAGAACATTGAGCACTCTATTTTATAGAATACATTTTAAAATTGTTTAAATATATATACATATATATATATATATATATATATATATATATATATATATATATATATATATATATATATATATATATATATATATACATATACATATATATATATATATATATATATATATATATATATATATATATATATATATATATATATATATATATGTATATATATATATACATACATACATATATATATATATATATATATATATATATATATATATATATATATATATATATATATATATACACACATATATATGTATATATATACTGTGCATTAACTGCTTATCAAACAAAAGAAAGAATTCAGAAATAGAGGGCTAACCGTAGGCAATGACAAATATCTAATTCAGTGCTAAGTCCTATGCCTTACTTTTTCGTTAGTGCACTTCGTTACGTAAGTTAGACGAGTATTAAATGTCTAATTTATGATCAGAAAAGGCAAGGCATCGTTTTTAATTATTTAATTTTAGATAAGTAACAAGTTCAACAAGTAATAAGTAGACAGACTCTTTTGCCCCATTAGCTGGAAAAGATTGTATTAACTTCTCCCACACCTTTTACTTCCTTTCCCCCTCCTGCACTTTTTTACTTCCTTTATTGGCAATGGTTGTATTAAAAAATAGGCTTCACTCAAAAAATCCTGCATCCGCTCCTGCATCCAAGTCATGACTTTCATTTTATTCCATATTAGATAAATTTTCTCTATCACCGTTAAAAACTGATAATAAACCTTTAATTTTTTTTATTTTTTTTTTATTTTAATTCTATATGAAATATGTAAAGTAAATTCAAAAACCTAATCCAAGCAAAACACAAAGGTCAATCTCACCGCTTTTACGGCCTATTGTTTCACTTTTTAAATGATTTAAAATTTATACAAAGCATTCATTGAGATTCATAGGTCACTTAAGACAATTAATAAAAACGCCTTTTATCAAGTAAACAATTAGCATATTTCATTAAACCCCATAATTTACCGTTTCGTTTTACCGACTTATACCCATTCTCTTTACCTTCTTTAACCCATAACTTTTTATCTGAAATAGCAAGTTTATATTTTGAATAATGATCCTGACCGACTGTTATTTAATGGTACGTTTCAAGTTTGCTGATACAAATTCCAATTTTGTTTTACGTTCATTTTTTAACGACAACAAAAAAAAATTATTTGCGGCCAAAATTTAACAATTAATCCAAAAAAAAAATTATTTTTATGAAAGTTTAATTTTTTATTTATCTTATTCCGAGATAAAAAGTTAATTCAATAATTAAAAGATAAAGATTTTTCGTAACTATTTTATTGTATTCTTTCTCATTTTAAAAATTTTAAACATTTTTTAAACTTTGTAATTTAATTTTGTTAAGACTACGTTGACCGAAGTCTTGTGTACATTTCTTTGTTTTATAAATCTAACTTTTACGATGTTTTAACAAAATTCATGTTTATAAAATTGTCATAGAAGACAACTTTATTGCTTAATTTCTTCATAATATGTTTTTTCTTTCAGACGTTTACTTAAAAAATATTTTACGGCTTGGATCACATACGTAAAGTTTCAAGCAAATGAACGCCAAAGGGAAATCGGTCGCGAACTTCTCAGAAAAAAAGTGCAATTGTGGTTGCCGGACTATTTTGGAAAAACACAACAAGAAGAAAATGATTTTGGGAAAAAGCAATATGAAGAGTGTATAAGGGATTTCTAAATACTTAAAAGTACTGATTGGTTACTTTTAGAAATATTTTTCAAATCCTAATGCATTAATCTATACAATACATCCGGTATACAACAATATATACAATTATATACAAAATAACTTTGCAATATTTTCATTCTAAATATATTAGCAATGTTTCGATATGTAAATGATAACAAAACGTAACAATTCGGTAAATTAACGTTTGTTTTATTTCCTTTAAGCGTTAGTGACATCATCAACATAAATACAATGTTGGCGTGTCGTTGGATAGGTATCGTTGCTCGCTGAGAGGTCTAAGTGAATTAATTATTTTAAAAACTTTGAAATGAACTTTGGCATTCATCCTTATGACAACGTAAGTGGTAATTTGCCAATTAGATGCATCTGTAACTAGCTACACCTTATTCAACTAGTTACAGATGTACAAATACAAATGTTTTATGAGTATAAATGTTATTACATCATTTTTCAGACATTTAATGCTTAAATGACGTAGCTGAGTCTAGAGAGCCTATATACTCAGAGAGCGGATATATGTGTGATCGTTTTTAATTGGTTGTTCGATTTTTATGATTTTAGACGCTATCTTTTTGCCAAAAATACTAACTGCGATTAAAGACTACAACTAAATTTGCATTAAATATTTGTAGAAGTATGCCTGGTTGTGCTGCAGTAGGCTGCCATAACAGGCCTGAGAAAGGATTTTTTATGAAATGCTTCCCAAGAAATGAAAAACAACCAGCAATTTTGACTTCTAAAGTTAAATGACTCAACTGGATACCTACAAACACAAGTTTTTTATGTGAAATAAGCATAAGAAAATACAGTTTTATGTAATTAATCCTAGATATGAGTTACTTTAGAATCCATACAAATACATAATATTCGATCAATTTTTTATTAAGGTACACTTTGATGCTGATCAATGGGAAAAAACCAGAGAAGATGGATCAAGAAAACTCAAACATAATGCAATTCCTACTGTCTTTAAACATGTTAGACCATAACATAAGCGAAAAAATCACTCAAGCGTTTTCCAATACCAAAAAAAAAAAGAAAAGAAGTTGTATAGAAAGTGGAGAAGCTGTGGAAAATGTTTTAATTGAAGTAAATAACAATGAAGCATCTGAATCACTTTGCACAACTGAGGTTGTGCAAAGTAAGTTGAACAACTGAGGTTGATAAAAGTTTACTTATACGAGATTTAAATTCGAAATTGGAGAGATTAGAAAAAAACAATCATTATTCAAAAAAAAAAAATAACATTTTAAAATCGAAAGCAAGAATAAATGCTATTTAAAAATATAATCATATAAAGAGAGATAAATTTAGAGTTTTCAAAACAATATTTAAAAAAGATCAAATTTTATCCTTAAGTAGAAAAAATATGAAACTCATTAAATGGTCAAATGATACTATAAATGAAGCGTTAGAACTCAAATTTACATGTAGTCAAAGTGGTTATGAAAACTTATTTCGTTTAAACTCACCATACCCATCATTCCGTACCCTACGACGAAGATTAGAAAATCTAAAATTTTAAAGTGGCATTTTAACAGAAGTCTTTGAGTTTATGAAAACTAAGGTGAATGTCATAAAAATCCATGAAAGAGAATGTGTTTTAATTCTTGATGAAATGTCAATAACTGAAAGTGTTGACTATGACACATCTACAAGCTCTTACTGAGGAGTTGTTACATTACTTGAACATTATGGCCAAGCTAACCATGCTTTAGTTTTTATGCTTGGAGAAATATTTACAAGATGGAAACAAACTGTTGCATATTATTATACTGGAAGTTCTGTTAATGGGAATGTTTTAAAAAACATTGTCCTATCTATAATAAAGTATACTGAAGAAATAAGATTAAAAGTTAATAGTGTTACTTCTGATATGGGTGCCATTAACCAGGCAATGTACTAAATATTAATGTACTATATACTTAATATTAGCTGTACTAAAAGTACAGCTTATATTAAAAGATCTCCACATTGGCAGTACTTCTAGTTCAATTAAACACCCATGTGACCTTGTTTAATTGAATTTTTAGCAGACGTGCCACATTTATTAAAGAATATAAGAACATCTCTCTTATGTAACAAACATTTTATAATAACAGCTAAGATTCCAGAAAAATATAAACTTCAATCGCCAATTATAGATTCAAAACACCTTAACAAGCTTGTAGACTTTCAAGAAGGTTTGGATTTAAAGTTTGCTTACAAGCTTACATCTGAACATCTTGATGAAGAACATTTCAACAAAATGAAAGTATCGAGAGCAACATCTGTAATGAATCATTATGTAAATTGTGGATTAAAATTTATTGCAAATAAAATAAAAGATGATTCTATTCTCACAACTGCTTGGTTTATAGGAATTGTTGATAAATGGTTTACTTTAATGACTTCACTAAACCCAGGTATGACTCTTAGCATGAAAAATAACAAAGTTGAAAATCAACAAAAATAACAAATGAAACAAAAAAACTTTTTTAAGTGAAGTCATAGAGATATTTCATGGTTTAAAAATATTAGGCCAAACTGAAAAAATAAGGTGGAAATCTATTCAATCTGGTGTTATATTATAAACAACATCAATTATTAACTTGCAAAATAATTTTTTTCTAGAAAAAAAGTTTGATTTTCTAATGACATCACGATTCTCGCAGGATTGCCTGAAGACTCTTTTTTCCTTGGTACGTGCAAAACAAGTAATTCCTACTGCTCTTCAATTTAAAAATAACTTGAAACTTATTTGCGTTGCCCAATTCTTGAAAAAGTTATTAAAATGCAGTTATGATAGATGACCGTCAATTCTTATCTGGTTTTCTTGATATAATTAATAGTAAGGTGCATAAGCCACAGCAAAGAGAGTGCATTGTGTTACTTAAAGATTGGGATAAAACCTCTAACTTAATCTTGCGTAATGCTGAGCAAAATTGTTTGTTTAATATTGCAGGTTATATAATTTCTAGAGTTAAAAAAATTGAAAAAGTTTGCACAATTTGTTTTGAATCTCTAGTTTAAAAATTAATTAATTAATGAATTAATGCTGATTATACAAAGTTTGTTACAGACAAAGATCACAAAGTGGTTAGTTTATTTTTTGCTAATGAAACAACATTTGAATTCTTTTTACAAATGGAGTTAGTATTCAGATCATTTGAGCCATACCTTAATTACCAAAAGAATTGTAATACTATGCTTTTAGAGAAAATTAATTGATGAGCAAATTAATCTGATGAGCAAATTAAAAGTCTAACTTTGTATCCTAATTGTCATCTAATTAAATTGAAAAAAAAAGTTCTTGTAAACTTGGCAGCAAGAGTATGACAATGCATGCATAGGCACTAAAGGTTTAGGTTCAACTAGTTTATAAAATAAATTGTAAAGCTTTTTTCAAGTTACTTATTGATTACAACTACTGTTTTGCTGTATTTTTTTTAAAGGTATTTCCCAAATAAATAAATAATTTTTTTCAAAGGTATTTCCCAAATAAATAAATAATTTTGTCGAAAAATAATTTTGAGTTGTTTAAATGTAGCATTGCTCTGGCACAAAATCTTTAACTATGAAATATATATTGTAGTAGCATTTTTTGTGTGTTTAAAATATTGGTTAAATACTGTATTGATTAAATATATATTTTATGATTACTAGAATATTGTTTAAAGCTTTTATACCAGCTTAAATGTCTAACAATACTTTGGAACTAAAAGTTCATAATAAAAACTCTATGTTTTGCGCTATCTGTCATTACTATAGGTATTATCTGTACGAATACGGTAAATAGTTTACAAATCCTCATTATATACTGGAATAAATCACTCTTTGTACCGTCACACTTATATCTAACCAATCATTTACCATCTTATATCTGACCAATCATTTACCACTTAAATATAACCAATCATTGTATGCATGTTATGCTGTACACCACTTTGCGCCCTCTGGTCTCAGAGCCAATACGTAGGTCTGTGGCAAATTTGCTAATGAGATGCTCTGAGAAAAGTTCTTATAGGATAACGCCAAAGAATACTTTGACAGATAGCCTGGTTTACACCTAGACTTGACCTCTTGTGGGATACCGGTCTAGGATGAAAGCTGAGGATCCTCTTGTGTTCATACTGCGCTATGAGATACTCGTTTATACATAATTATCCATGGAACATTCGTATAAAACATGTATCTATAATCTACACTTATACTACTGATTACGAAGACAACATGAAAACTACTTTTAAAACGAATAATTTTACTATTATTTTATCACATTGTCATATTTATTTAAAGTTTAAATAAATATGACAGTTTTTCGCCGCATTGAAAATATGGAAATATGGATTTGGCATAAAGGCTCGATAAACTTTGTAATTGTCTTTCACTGGATTTTCTGCTCTTATACATTTTATACGTCCCAGTTACACATTAACAGTTAAGCCCATTGAGACAACGACTATTTTTTATTATACTTTTATTAATTACTACTTTTTATCATGATTAGTTATATTTATTACCATGATTTCAAATCTTTCATTTCAAATTTCAAATTTAAAGATTTCAAATCAAATTAAAAACTTGGTTTTTACTTTTCCACTGGACATTTTTCTTTTGTAATTTAATCTCACTCTGTTACCTTCTTTTTATTTCCGTTTGCTTCTTTAAGGCGTTCACTTCTTGGTCCGGCTTCAATAAAATGCACTGCATTTACAAAAATTGTGACAGCTAGAGCCACAGTACAAATCTTAAAGGACTAAGGGAGATGGGGGCGCATTGATCGCCGTTGCAGTATTTTGAAAACTGCAAACAACCCGATCTAGATATAAAAACTTATTAATTACTAAACTAGAACAATCTGTCTTTAAGTAAAAATAAATGTTTTAATAAAAAACATTAATGAACATGGTATATTTTAATATAACAACAACCCTTGCAAAAGGTCAATGTACCCCATGCAATGGGGTACTATGATCTCCGATATGGGGCGCTTTGATCTTATATGAGTAACATTATTTACATGTTTAATACTGCTATACCTAAATGCTACAAATGCATAAGTTGAAGGGTATTAGTGTATATTATATAATACATCTAAAAAAAAAAGTAAAATTTAAAACATATATATATATATATATATATATATATCATTACAACCTAATACACACCAGTGTATAAAGTTTACATTAGAAGAATAACCACAATTCTATCTATGAAAATAAGCCCGTTATATACTACTAACATATAAATGTGTTAAGTTTTACAAAACTTGAAGCTTATAAAGTCTATAAGAATACAGTATTTTAAGTTTACAAAGAAAATACAAGATTCATACAAGACTTTTATTAGAAATAAAGTTTACAAGATTATTTTTTTATATTAACATCCTTTGTCAAAGTCAAGTCGTGATGCTACTTTTACATTACATTGTTTTTTTGTTCCTAAGCAAGTAGTTTTTAACTTTTCCCCTTTTTTTATCTTTTGCGATGAGTTTCTTTTGTTGGTTGATTTATTTTAGGGTTTTCTTTTCTTCTGACAAGCGAATTTCATTTCTGATTGGGGTATCACTCAAAATGCTTGTTTTAAATTGCCTACTTTTAACACTTCTTTTTCTAGCAGATGCTTTCGGGTAAGGTTTCAAAACTTCAGGTGAGAGTAATGAAGCGATGCTTGGTGTCACTTTGTTCGAAAAACTTGTTTCATGATGTACTACAGGCATTTCAGGCTCCATGCCATCAACATGTGCTACAGTCATTTCAGGTTTCACAAGAATTGTTTACTACATTTGGAGCAGCACGATCTGTAACTGATGATAGTAAATATTCATCATCTTTAAAAATTTCTGGATTAAATGGCTCAATGCCAGCTACTTGAAATCCTCTCTGTATATTAGATAGTGAGAAAGCTTTTGTATATGGTTCGCGAACTATTGAAGCAATATCATAAATGGTCATAGGTCTTGGATTTGTGACCATCCAATTATCACACGCAGCATTGTAAAACCTTTTCAATGGTCCAAAAACAATTCTATCCAATGGTTGCAATTTATGGGTAAAATGGGGAGGAAAACTTAGCATTGTAATTCCATGTTGAATTGCAAGATCCAAACAGAAATAACAAGCTCTAACAGAAATATGACTTTTATGGCTGTCCAGAAGTGACAAAACTGGAGACTCATGAGAACAGTTTGAATACCTCACAAAATGTTTTATCCATTCTATAAAAATGTCTGAACTCATCCAACCAGAAGGATTTGCAAATCCCACGCATCCAGGAGGACCTTCCTTTATCATGTAATCATGAAATTTGACCCTAAGAAAAACAAATAGTGGAGGAATAGAGTTTCCAATTGCATTTGAAGCACAACATACAGTTACTAATGTTCCTTGCTCTGCAGATGTGATTCTTGCCTGCTAACACTTTTACTAGCATTTGTACTGTTGTTAAACTAGTTTCATCAACATTATATATGCAATAAGGATCAAACTTATATCAATTTCTTACTGTTTCTACATTTTGGAAAAATTCTCCAACAGTGTGTCGGTTAAAGGCAGTTGATCGAGCAAAGCTAGTTGCTTCAGGTGTTCGTAAAGACAACTCTGGTTGTCTTTTCATAAAACCTTGCAACCAATCAATCCCTGCAATTTTATTCTTGATCCATGATGAAAGGCAAATCTTATTATTTTTTACATCAAACTGGTATGCCAATAATCGTGTTGACTTAGTTGAAAGTCCATAGTTCATTTTTGATGCAAGTAGTAAATAACTTGACAAACTTTTTTCATCTTCTGCAGTAAAAACTTGTTTATTGTTGTAATTAGGCTTAAAAGATTCATTTGGGTTGAGCTTCTTTTTATTACAATATCTTTTTAAGGTCATTCGGTTTATGCTAAACTTGCAAGCTACAACATTCACTGGTCTGCTCTCTAAAACTTTATTAACAGCTGATTTTATTGTATCACATGATATAGCAACTCTGTCTGTTTTTTGTTTTCTATACCTAACCATTTAAAGATCTGAAAATTTAAAAAAAAGTAAAATAAAATGATTGTTTAAAAAAATATTTTATATAATAATACTATGTAAACTAATTGTAAAACTTATGTAAAACTAAAAACTAATGTTATTAATATTAGTTTTTTAACACTATTACATTTTAAAAATGAAATTTTAAAAGTTTATATAAAGATTTTTTATTCGTCATAAGTTTAAATGTACAAAATTTAAACAAAAAATTTTAGTCTTATAATATAAGTTATATGGGGCACTTTGATCCTCCGATCAATGAGCCCCGCATAGTCAACGATCAATGTGCCCCATTAGGTACAGTTGATATATTGATGCCAATAACTTCTATAAATACAGTAACCAAATCAAAAAAACAAATTTATTATAAACTTAACACATATGAGTTTACAATCAATTGGTTGTAAAGTCATACGGAAATCTAATTAAAAACTTATTTGAATTTGTTTACAACTTTCAAAAATCACTTTTCATGATGAAAAACAATCTTTTCAATTTTCTTAACGCTGAAGTTGATCTCTTCAAAAATTATTACGATTAAGCAATGAAGGGTAGTATAATGGTTAATTAAATTGCAATCTCTGTTAAATTAAGGCAAAAGTAAACGAGTAAAAGCTAAAAGATCATACTGCCCCGGCAATCAATGCGCCCCCATCTCCCCTACAACGAGTAAATTTTGATAGTGATCTCTTCTGTAATAAGTAAAATCCATGCCAAATCTATTCTAATTTTTTTCAACCTTTATCTTTCCGTGCGTCAACGCGACGGGTGTTGGATCTATTGATATAAGCTCACTCTTGAGTTTTCTTGTGTAAATCTTCTTCTATTGCAGACAAAAACTTTCAAGCAAAGCCTAAAGTTCATCTAACTCCAAAGTGTCTAGCCTGCTAATGTAGTTTCCAGAATTGATTATTTATTTGTCACAACGATTCCGACACTATTTGCAAACTTATCTAATTTCAACAATTTCATCTACCAATTTGGTATCCTCGTTAACAAATCAGTCAATTTTCTTTTGATGATGTTAATTTCACGTCAACCTCCAAGTTTTAATTGTCAACTAATTCCCGAAACACCTTTAATTTTTACCGTATTAATATTTTACTTGACACTTTTGACTTCAATTTCGATTTTCTCGACTAGGTCAAAAGATGTCAGAAATCCAGTGAAAGACTCTTACAAAGTTTATCGAGTTATGCCAAATCCATATTTCCAATACGGCGTAAAACTGTCATATTTCGTATCAGTCCTTACGCAGCAATGATGCGTTTTCAACGATGGATCCACCAATTACATGGAACTAGTATCAGCCCACGCTTTAACTTTACACATGAAGACAACTCACACTTTACCTTCAAACAAGCAAGACCATGTGACACATATTGGTTTTGCTTCTTGATTTCTAGCTTTTTTAATTTTTTACGCAACAACAACAAAAAGAAGCTGTCCGTTAACTATTTTTTCAATAGTGATAAAATAATAATAAAAATATGTTATAATAATAAATTATAATTGTAAAAATTTAAATAATTAAAAAAGATATCAAAGTTAATGCAAGTCAAAGTTATAATGAATAAATAAAGGAGAGGACAAATGAGGGGGAGAGGCAAACTGAAGATGTGTAAAATACCCGAATACTATATATTCGTTAAAAAATCGCCCAAAAATTGGATATCACCAACTTTAAAAAAGTTTGAATATCTTAAGAAAAATTTGATTTATTTTTTTTAATAAAATTGAATTTCACGAGTTTAAAAAATCAATATATCTGTTACGTAAAATCAATTACGTAACAGAGGAATGTAGAATTAGTTAAAAGTTTTTTGTTTTCAATGTTTTAAAAATTTATACGTTAGGGAAGAGAGGTGATTTGCAATAAATAATGCACATGTACGCAAAGAAGGAAGGAGGGGGGGGAATGGGATAGTTAAAAGAGTACAGGTACGTTAAAGAAAAGAGGGGGTCTTTAATCAGTGATTTTTTCTGCATAGTATTTAACAGATGTCCTCTAAAATTGAGAGTTTTTGTTAACTGAGTAAAAATTGTTAAAAATGTTTACAATAAAAAATTTCTTAAAAAGAATAAAATTTTCATTGATTTCATTTTAAGATGTGATAATTATTTAATAGGGTCTCAGCCTCACAAGTTTCACATTTTATTAGAACAAAGTTTTGTCGCAGCCATTAAGCCTGGATCTCCATTCTTTTAGTTATTCCGCGACATTTTAAACCATTTTCTGTTCGAAATTTTTTTTATAATAAAAGATATAAATTGAAATTTTTATTCAGTAAGCTTTTTTGCAAATAAAAGCACTTGTTGTTTGTCTTTGTATCCTGTAAACTTGTCTATGACTTCACCGTTTTTTATCGCAAATACAGCTGGAACAGCAGTAACCTAAAAATATTGAGATTTTACAAATCTGACAATAAAAATAAAAAGACAAATAAAGAAGATAATTTCAAACAATTATAAAAACAATTTTTTTTTAAATAAAAAAAACAACAAAATAAAACACTTCCAATAAGATTTGTACGACTGTATATTCTGCTGAAATATATATGGGTACAGTAACGACAGGTGTCGCAAAGGGTAAATCATTTAATATCCTTTATACTGATTTCACAAAAGCTTTTGACCAAGTGCCACAGAAAATTATTACTAAAACTTGAAGCATGTGACATTGCATCTACATTATTAAAGTGAATAACGTGATAGAAAGCAAAACTTGGAGACCGTGTATCACCATGTTTTGTTTAAATATATCAATAAGCTTTCAAATCAAATGATGTTATATGCAAATGATTGCAAAGTAATAGCTGAGATTAATAATGAAACTAGTTGCTTTACAAAATGACATTAAGTCATTTTGTAAAGCAATTGGACAACAAACTGAAAAATGAAATTCAATTTTGAAAAATATAAAATCATGCATATCAGTATTAAAAATATTATTCATTAATAATTAATGGCTAACAATAACAGTAATGGAGAATTGATTACTACTAAATTAGAAAAAGACCTTGGCATATTTATTTCAAATGATTTAAGATAGGAATCACAAATCAAAATGGCTTTATCTATTGCAAACAACAACTTTGGTATAATATGCAATTTAAGTGTAAAGATAATGAAATTGTTGTATTGCAGATATATTTGCAATACAATTTACAATATAAGAATGATGCCATTTTTTGAAAAATTATTTGTTTTATCTATTTATTGTTATATGTTATTACACAAAACTGATTTATGATATATTTTTGAATATATTATAATGAATAGTATATATGGCAAAAATATAACATATTAAAAATATATACGATGGTAATAAAAAAACCAAAATATTGAATACTGACTCAGTTACTTTTAATTAATTGTGATTAATACCACAATTAATTAAAATGTTACTGATGTTATGGAGCTTCAACTTTCTAGGAAGTTTTTGACTTTCACATCCAATTCCGAATTTGGCTCCAATAGTTTTAAACCAAAAGTTTAATGAAGATTTAGAATACAGCACATCATATCAAACTCGGTTGTTGTGATTCAAAAAAATTATATTTTAGAAAAACTTTATTAAAAGTTGATTTACTTGTGAATTTAAAATCTTAGTAAGGCATGAGTGTAGTATCTATCATTAGTGAAGTGATAAATTTATTTTATGTAGTTAAAAATCATAAAACTAATTGCAAAGTTTGTGGGAAAACGAATTCAAGAAAAGTACAACTACATCCTTAAAAGGACATTTAAAGTCATCGCATGTAAGTGAATATAAATAATTTATTCAGCTAGAAAGAGAAAATAAAAAGCATCCCTTGATTTCAACTCTTTTTCGAAAGGCAAAAAAATAAATCATTTTCGAGATGAGCAATCTAAAATAGGCTTCTTTTAGTCTCAAGTCAATGGATTGCCCTGCAGAATCTACCTTCCAATTTTGTGGAAGGTCTATACTAAAATGGTTTAGATATATCAGATTTATACTACTTTTACAATTTATTTTTTTCAAATTATTACTTAAAACAAAGACATGTTTTTATTTGTAATAAATTTTATTCAAAATTGGCAAGTAAGATTGGCAAGTTTCATTTACTACTTATATTTAGACTGAACCTAGTTCCAATATTTTTTTAATAAATTTGATAGCGTCACTGAAGGTTTTAAAAAAACTGAACTTGTTTTAAAATGCTAACCATTAAATTGCTGATGCACGGGAGATGTAATTCATGAAAAGTTTAATGAGATGCTGCTAGAATGACATATAACTTTGGAAAAAACTCACTGTTTCATATGTGACACTGGATCAAAGATATGTGCTAGCTAATATTAAGTAGTGTCAATTGTGCCATACATCAATTACAACTGTGTGTAAGAACTATGTTGGATTCTAATGAAGAAATCAAAAAAATATATATCCAAATGCAAAAAAAATTTTCTACAAATTTTATTCATTCTTAAATTGCTCATATGGAACTGCAAAAAGTTCGACTTTGCAACTCAATTAAGAAGCTTTAGGGCTGTGCAATAGTGTAATACACAAGAAGAAACTTAAATTTATTCTAAATACATTTTTTAATTTTTTTAAATTCATGATTTTAAAAAAAATCACCTCATATTCCATAGCTAAATCTTCATGTTGATCAACATCAACTTTTGCCAAATTTAATTTTCCTTCAAAACTATCCACAACTGATGCAAGAACTGGTGCAAGCTGTTTGCAAGGTCCACACCAACTAAAAAGATGTAAAAAAGTTGTATAAGGCAAAGATTATTACTTTTGCATTTGTAATACAACTTGCTAAAACAACAAAACAAAAAAAAGACATTTTGAATAACTGTTTGTTAGAAAATAATGAAAATAAAAAAAATCTTATCAGTTAAATAGCTTTTTAAAGTTTAAACCTAGCATGGAAGTCAACAAGAACAGGAACTTTTGATTGAACTACTTTATCATTGAAATCTTCTGGAGTCTTTATATCAAAAGATAGTAATCTTTGCAACCTCGGAGTATACTTGTAACTACTATTAACAACAATTCGACGGAATACTGATAACATCATTGTTTTTAATTTTACTACATTAAAAGTATAAAATGTAAAAGTTTTATTCAAACTATGTCTTGCATAAGTCTTGACCTTTCTGTTAATATAATTTTAATTGTGTTTAAAAAGTATGCAAAATGTGGAATGTGCACTGCAGAAGTGGTTGGTATAGACCACAATCACAAGAATATATATTTTTATTCTTGTGACTGTGAATAAACCAAAAGTACATTAGATTTACAAACAATTTTCTACACAGGTATTTACCACCCAAATATTGCCATATATAAAGGGCTGCCTAAATTAAAAAAGTCCCTGCACAAATAAAAACCTTTAGTTGATGTATGCACATTCACTGCACCTACTACCAAAAAATAGTCAATACATGTACATTTATAATAGATGTACAATTATAGATGATAACTGTCATATGATGCTTAGATGGTACCTATCATGGTAGTGTTAAAGTCCAGGTTTTATATGTTTAAGTGGTAAATATTAATGAGAAAATTGTTTGGATATCTTTTTATATTTTAGGTCCATAAATAAACGCACAAGTTTCAACACAAATGGCTTATAAAAAGATTGTGGTGACTAAAGTCACCACAATCTTTTCATAGAGCCCTTAGTGGGCTTTGCAAGTTAAAAATGTAATAAAATTGTTAAAAATAAAATGTGCAACTCCAATTATATATGCAGATAAGAGTTGCAAAAAAAATGTTTTTTTATAACTCTATAAAGAATAAAACCATCATAAAAAATGGCTGTTTCACGCTCGCTTGACGTCACAAGAATTTTTGTGTTTATAAATAAAAAAGAATTTCCGCATAAAAAGTATAAATTCATTAACTTTAAATTAATAGTATTTTTTTTCTATAAATGCTTTCATCTTTGAAGATGAAAGAACAATCTTTCTTCGTTAAGTAAATATTTACGTTAAACGAAATAAAAATAAACATTGTTAAAGTATTTTAAATGATTTTGGATCACTTTTCTGTTTTTGGCGATTGTTATGGAAAACCTGTCTTGGACCAACCAAGATTCGTTAACATAGCTACATGGTTGATGGTTGAAATTTAGAACACTTACCAATGAATGTCTATTCTATCAGATTCCTACGTCATCTTGGTGATTTTTTTACTATAACTCAATTTTTATTCCATTTATACATTTAAATTTATCTCTTTTAAATGTAAAATATAATTTTATTGATGGATGACGTAAGTTATTGAAATTTCGATCTTTTATGCAGATGAAAATATAAAAATTATTTTATGTACCTTTTGCTAAGTTAACGAATACATTTTCAAACTTGGCATGTTTAGCAACAAAATTATCTTTAATATTTTAAAAGTTATAAATATTTTAGGAACACCCCGTGCGGTAAAATTTCAAAGTATGTTTTAGAACTATCAAAGAGAGTAAAAGATCTTGAGGATAAGAACAAAGTAATTTGAAAATAATTGACAGCCTGAAAGATGACCTTCGTAAATCAAAGCAAAATGTAAATTCAGCCAACGTTGGAAACGTTTGCTAATGCAACCATAAATGAGCTGCACGATAGAGAAAGGAGAAAAAGAAATCTAATTGTTTTTGGAATTCCAGAATCAACTCAAACGGATCTGTTAATTAAGAGAAATGAAGATGAAAAAAAGATAACAGATGTTTTTGATTTTATTGGCAAAGCCGAAGTTAAACTAGTTTATACCAGAAGACTTAGATCGAAAGACAAAACAAAACCTGGTCCAATTTCAGTTAAACTGGATGAACCATCCATTAGAAATCCAGTCCTTTTAGCAGCAAAAAAATTATGAAACAGCGTGGATCATAAACAGATTTATATAAGTTCAGATCTTATTGAAGATGAAAGACAACTTGATCTCCAGCTAAGACAAGAAAGAAACAGGCTTAATGCAAATCTTGATACAAACTCTCCATTTCGATATGGCATCCGTGGTAACCAATTGCAAAAGTTCAAGAAGAATCAAACTTCAACTTAAAGCACCTTTATTACCTGAAAGCATAACAGAACTTAATTGTATTTACCTGAATGTTACCTCACTAGAAAATAAATTAGATGAATTAAATGTTGTAACTAGTTTGCATTGTCCAAAAATTGTTGGAGTAAGCGAAACATGGTTCAAAAATAATTTTATTGTAAACATTCCTGGTTACAATATATACAGATATGATAGAATTGGTAATTGTAGAGGCGGCGGTGTTTGCTTATATATAAAAAATTCAATTGATTCGTATGAGCTGGTCGACACTGATTTTAGTATTAGTAAAATTGAACAAGTTTGGGCAGTAGTTTATTTTGGCCAAGATAAATACCTGGTTGGCTGTCTATACAGACCAAATTGTGTTGTTGATATGGTAGATCTTGACAATATTTTTAAGATAGCAAGAAGATATGTTGATGTTAATGCCTTTAAAAATGTACTAATTATGAGAGATTTCAATTTCCTAGCCATTAAATGGTCAAACGGTAGTATAGCATCAATTTCAAATGAAAGTTGCATAGAACATAAATTCTATAAGAATTTAAGTGATACTTTTCTCTATCAACATATAAACATACCAACTTTTCAATTGACTAATGGCTCACTCTCAAATGTTTTAGATTTAATATTTACAACAGATTCTGGTAGTGTATGTGCTGTCAACCTAGGTTTTGTGCTTGGTGACATAAACAAAGGTCATCTAATTATTTAGTTTAAATTTGTCCTAAAAAATGATGTTAAAAGATTAGCCTGTAGCAACTTTAAATTTTTGTATAGCAAAGCTAAATTTGATAAAATTTCTGATTTTATATCCAATATCGAGTGGGTGAAGTTGTACGAAAACAAGACAGTGCAAGACATGTACGACGAATTTATTTACTATACCACTGAAGCATGCAATTTGATTGTTCCAACTATAGACATTTCACAAATCAAAAGCTCAACAACTCCTTGGATTATTTAATGAAATCAAGCAATTAATAAGAAGAAAAAGAAATTTAAGATACATAAATTCTTCTCACAGATGGATATTAAACTGATTAAAGCATATAAGCAGCTATGCAAATTGTTAAAATGCAGCTATGCAAATTATTAAAAACAGAAATATACAATGCTCGAGTTTTATTTGAAAAAAATCTAGTGTTAAGGTCTAAAATCCCAAACTTCTATACAAGTATTTAAACAGTACAAATTCAATAAAAGATCCAATAAAGGCCATAAGAATGTCTGATGGTGATTTATCCCATGAACCAAATAAAATAGTAAACTGTCTAAATAAACATTTTCAGGATGCCTTCACTATTAAAGAAAAAGGAGATCTTCCACCGTTTCATCTCGAATTAAATGATGTATATAATTTTGAAGATATTGAACCAGATGATATTAGCTTTGAGTTATTTTTATCTAAACTTAACTCACTAAAAGACAATAAATCACCTGGACCTGATAAACTTTGTTCAATAGTCCTCAAGAATTGTGCTATATCGTTTACTTTACCCCTAACTCTTATATTTAGAGAAAAGCTTAAAACCAGTCAACTACCAATACAATTCAAGTCAGCAAATGTAACACCGATACATAAAAAAGGTGACAAAACAGTGGCCAGCAATTATCGCCCTATTTCCTTAACTTCTACTCCTTGCAAAATATTAGAATATATTCTAAGAAAAAGAATTGAAAAACATCTTTACAAAAACAATTTATTAACAATCCAACAGCATGGTTTTGCAAAAGGTAAATCTTGTACCACAAATTTGCTAGAAACTCTTGACTTTATTTCCTCGTGCAACAGCTATGATTTACCTGTTGATGTAGTAATGCTAGATTTTGCTAAAGCTTTTGATAGTGTTCCTCACAAGAGACTCTTTGCTAAATTGAATCCATATGGTATTAATGGCTTATTTATAAAATGGATGAAAGTTTTTCTAAGTAATAAAAGACAAAGAATAGTTCTTGGGGAATTGGTTTCTGAGTGGGTTGAAATATTTAGTGGCGTGCCACAGGGCTCTGTTATTGGATCGTTAATGTTTATTATATACATTAACGATCTGCCGAGTAAATTAATAAATAAAACCAAATTGTTTGCTGATGATACCAAGATATTGTTCAAGGTAACTATAGACGAGTGTACCTCAAGTCTGCAGAGGGATTTGGATGTATCATTTAAATGGACAGAAGACTGACTTTTAAAGATCAATGTTGATAAATGCGTAGTAATGCGTTATGGAGTAAATAACAAAACGAACCCTCTATATATTAATGGCATAAAGTTACCAGAATCAAACAGCGTAAAAGATCTAGGCGTAATATTTTCTAAAAATCTCAAGTGGAAAGATCAAGTTATGTCTGTAACAAATAATGCAAATAAAATGTTAGGTCGAATCAAAAAATCATTTGCAAGATTGGCCTGTTATTTACTTAAATCATTCTATGTAACCTTTATTTGTCTTTTTCTAGAATTCTCAGTTCCAGTTTGGTCCCCGTATCAAAAAGGTGACTGTAAGGTAATTGAACAAGTGAAGCGTCGACCCACCAAACTGATTAAATCAATTAGGTGTTTCAGTTATGAAGATCGATTAAAATTTTTGAAATTGACAAATTTAACTAAACAAAGAGAAAGAGGTGATATGATCCAACTATTCAAAATAATGAACAATGTTAATATAACAGAGCATAACATACAAACTATTCAAAATCATGCTAGAGGTCACTGTTTCAAATATTATAGGGAAACAACAAAAAATCTGCCAAGGCATAATTTCTTTTATAATAGATCGGCAAACTTATGAAACTCATTGCCTTTAGAACTAGTCAATTCATTGTCTGTAAACTCCTTTAAAGCAGGGTTCGACTATTGGACAAACAACAATCGATCAAAGCGGCTGTCACAGTGTGCTTAAAAGCATCACTGGTCATTCCAGTTACAGCAATAAATACTAACTAACTAACCCCTTACGTTAAAATTAAAAAAAAAAAAAAAACAAGAAGCCGTAAAGCTCACTCTGAAACAGCCTAGGGTTGCCAGATTATCCACTTTGTGTCCGAATCCGTTTATCTGGCAAAAAATAATCGGCCGATCGGCACTTTGGCTTTTAAGGTAATAAGCGTTCTTGTGTCTTTAGATGTTTCATCTGTAAATATGTGCCATTACAATTTTAAAAACTTTTTTGTATAAGTTAGGAATATATATATATATATATATATATATATATATATATATATATATATATATATATATATATATATATATATATATATATATATATATATATATATTCCTAACTTATATATATATTCCTAACTTTAAAGTTTAATAGTTAAATGAATTAAATGAATTAAAACTTTATTTTTTTGATATAATGCATAGTAAAACTATATACATTTTTTTATTAGTAAATTATAAATAAAAATATCATAAATAAAATATTGAGATAAGTCAAGTTAATAACTTGGCTTCTCTCAGTATGTTATTTTATTTTTATAACTACGACAGTTTTTATGGTAGGTTGATGTGATCTAAAAGATGATTGGTTCAATATTTAAGCCAATAAGATTTACATTTTTAAAAATAAACCAATGCGATCGCGGAAAATTTGGCTACTTTTTGGTCACTTTTGGCTACTTTATTATATATTTCTTATTATATATTTGGCTACTTTATTATATATTTCTGGCTACCGCTTATCGCAAAATATCTGGCAACCCTGCAGGGTTGCCAGATATTTTGCGATGTGCGGTATTAATTGTCAAATAGATATCACAAATTTTATAGGTATTCAAATAGATATCACAAATTTACAAATGCTGCATGAACTATTAGCTGAGCTCTGTGAGTACACACAACTCAGGGGTTATATATATATATATATATATATATATATATATATATATATATATATATATATATATATATATATATATATATATATATATATATATATATATATATACATATATTTATATATATATATATATATATATATATATACATATATTTATATATATATATATATATATATATATATATATATATATATATATATATATATATATATATATATATATATATATATATATATATATATATATATATATATATATATATGTTCTAGTTAATTTGGCAGCCAAACTTTCAGCCAAATGAGGTGAACGAAGAAAATAAATTGTTATCTCTTATATCAATTTGGAAACACCTTTCAGTTTCTTTGCCTATGATAATAAACTTATGGTTGATTTAATCAAACCTCTGTCTTTGAATTTTAAAAAGCTATTTTGTTTTAAATGAAAATGTAGTACTAGTGTATTTTAGCTAGTGTATCTAGCAATATATGAGATCAAAGCTTTTTTGTATTCAAATAGATTGCTGCAATTTAGAATATCTGCATAATCGTGATCACTAACAGCTAGTTCAATCTCCAACAAATCATATTTTCTTATTAATTCAATTTCAGTCAAAGATTTTCAGTCATTTTAGTATTGAAGTCAGCAAAAGAATTGTCTAAAACATATTATATATGAGTTTATCTCTGATGCTGCAGTTTTCATTTAAACATTGAGCACTACTTTGCATCAAAAGTCTTTTATATGTGGCTGTTAATTGCTGGCAATTGATATTGCTGTTAAACATTTCTACAGATCTAATAGCACCAAAAAAGAGCTCTAAATGGTTTTGATTAAGCTTATATGTTAATAAATACTTTAATGGTCAACCTACTTTTTCAGCCTAGTCGAGAAATATACCTTAAACAGATTTAATCGCTGCCAAATATTTAATGAAACTAGTTTTTCAATTTGTGTTATAGTAATCTCTTTAAGACTAATCATATTACATGTATCCTTTGGCAAATCGATTTCTTGAATTTAATATGTCATATAATCAATCTATTACGCGAATAAACTCAACAACATATTAAATATGATAGTTATATACAGTTCATTAATATAAAAAAGTCAACTAGCAGTAATTACATAACTATAATACTTAACATTACGTAAACAGTATATGTAACTAAGGAGATATTTCAAAGAAGTAATGTTTTGAACATTTCTATATAAGGATGTAAATATATATTTTTAAAACTAATGTATTTTTACATATATTTGTTTCTTCAATTGTATTGAGTGATTATCCTTCAAATTATAAGAAACTATAGTTTACTTTTTATTTGTTTTAAAAGTTGTTATAAATAACTATAATTCAAACCTGGTTGTTTTTTTTTTAACAGTATAAGTGACACTTTAGAATATTTTATTCAAATAATTTATGCAATAATAGAATTCAAGTATAATATAGTTCTAGAAGGAACCCCTGAGTTTTTGTATACTAACAGCACTCAGTTAATAGTTCATGCAGCATTTGTACAAAATCGTATACAAAAAATAGAGAATATAAAATTGTAGGTAGAGATGATTTCCGCTTACCGTGCTGTTATGTTATTAACATTCTAGCATACAGCATTGGGTGGCTAAGAACTAAAGGTACATAAATTATACATAACTAAATTAGACTTAAATTTGTAATTGCCGTTTAATAATAAATTCAATTAATCAAAAAAATAGTTTCTTTTTTTTTTTCTAGTATTTATAAAATTCATTTGTTTTCTTTTATTTTTAACAAATGTATTAGCCTTATTTAATTATTTTCTTTCGTAGTTTGATAAAACCATATAAAATGTATATCGGTTTCACCGCTAGGAACTAAAATCGCCGCCATGTTGGTAGGCCAATTTTGGTTTCAACTTTTTTTCGGAAAAAACAATACAATCCGCTATCCAGTTATATTTTGAGATCAGTGGTCCCATCCTCAAACCAGCCGTAAACCATTTACGGAAGTCCCCAGTAAAAACCCAGATTTTATTTGCGGGATTATTTTCACACCATACGGGACCAATCTGGCACCCTGAACAAATCCCAGCCCGAACCTTATCCTAGTAAGCCAAGCTCAAACCCAGTCAATCCCAGCTAAGACCCAGTTGGGCTGGTTAACTGGGTAATTCCTTTTTTTTTTTAATCAAATCTTTATTGCTGATACTGCCAAAATAGGCAGGACATCGACCAATGGTGGTTATTAGAGATAATAATAAATTTACATTCTAATTTAATGAGAGGAGAAAAGAAACTTATTTCGGAGGTTTGTTGAACTCCCCTCGATTTAAGGGGGTTAAAAACTTTACATATTTATAGTTTTTAAACGCTGAGAAATTATGCAATGAAACTTAAAATTTATCGATGAATATAAGTTTAGTTGAGAAAAGCACAAAAAATATGTCAAAGATCAAAAAATGCTGGATCTGCCCCTGCATATAACTGCTCGAAGAACCCATTTTTAAATAAAAATAATAACAAAATTTTAATTATAACACAAATTTAAACTGAAGGAAAAACTTACTGCCGTCCTTCAGGAGCTCTATTTTGATAATAATTTTTGTGGTTTTAACGTATAACTTATAGCTGACAGGAAGAAATCTAATGTTTTGAGCAAAAATTTAAAGTCAATCGCCTTTTTGGTTTGAAGGTATTAGAAAAAAAAGCGTTGATAAGGTCGTTGCTATGAAGCCAAAACCAAAATGTCTTTTAAAAAAGGGTAAATTTAATGAAATTTAGGAAGATTTTCAACTTTTTGCAAAATGCAAATGAAATAGGTGGGTTTAAGAATTCAAAACATGCATTTTGATATTTTTCTAAATTTTACCAAAAATAGCCAGTTTTTACCCTGGTACCACCTTTAATGAACTTATTAGCATACCAAAATTGTAGAAAATTCAATATCTAGCACTATTAGGATTATGTATAAAACAACTTTTGAACACAAAAAGTTTGAAAGATATTTTTCATTTATGTTTAAGAATGTTCGGCAACCTAACATTTTTTCAAAATTACCTTTTTAAACCACAAATAACAAACTAAGTACTTAATATCATACCAAACACTTTATAAAAAAATCTGATCTTTTAATAACTTGCCAAGGGCCACAATTTTATTTTAAATATATCTGCATTTTATATTGGATTGCGTCCTATAGACGCAAAATCTTTATTATTTGCAATAGTTTTTAAAATGTACATTGATTACGATATTTTTTATTATAGTGACTCAAAATGTTCAATCAAAATGTTTTTGCGATATGTAGTATTTTTTTGACGACAAAAACAACACGCGAAATAATAAATATAAGATAAGCAAACAACAATGTTGACCAGATATTTTAAAAAATAATTTCTTTTACCTAGTTGTTAACATATACAATCAGTTGCCTTTCGATGACGTTAATGCTGTTAATATTCTTTAAGAGTAAACTTAATTCATACAATTTTGAAATTTGCGATAACTGCATATCTTATTGATATTTTCAGATCCGTGGCTAGTGCCACAATTAGGGGATGGGGGACAGAAAGTATAGAAAGCCCTTTTACAAATTTAATAAACTTATTTATTTGTAATACCTAAAGAAGATTTTATATATATATATTTTTGTCCAAACAAATGACAAACTTTGTTTAATGGAGGGGGGGGGGGGTGGGGGAGGTAAGCTTAATAAATTTTTTAATTGTATTCTACGCTGTAACATTTTTGTTTATTTTGGGGCACGCGATAACAATGTGAACCTGTGTGTTCTGTAGAACATGCATCATTTGTTCTTATAATTACAATCTAATTTAATCTAAAGTAAAGTATCTGTTTGCGTTTAAAAAAAAAAATAAAAAAAAAATAATTGAATCAGTCATTATAAAAAAATTTTACTTTTTTTTTTAAAAAAAAAGTAAAATTTTTTATAAAGACTGAAATTAATTCTTTTTTTTTTTTTAAAAAAAAAAAAAAAGAAATAATTCAAAGTAATTCCAAGTAATTCAAACTGCTTTTGCTTAAAAAGATGTAAATAAAAAAATTCGGCAAAGTTTTGTAATTCCGATATCAA